GGTGCAGCCCGCTCGGCAGGCGGGCGCGGGCGGTTGCCGGGGCGGCAGGCTCGCCGCGCTGCTATGTGGGTCAGCTATTTTAAGGACCCGGCGCTCAATGGCTCTTTCTTGCTGGTGCCGAGTGGGGGGCGCTCGGGCGGGCGGGCAGGAGCGGCCGGGACGCGGGGCGCATGCTGACCAGGCTGGCGGCGCCCGCACCGCTGCTTGCTCGCCCAGGTGCTGGTGGTTGCTCTGAAATGCAGCCACAGCCGCTGCTTCGCTCGTCCGCCCGCCCCACAGCGACTTCCAGGGGTTGCAGAGGGCTCCTGCATTCGCCATGGAGCAGCAGGCAAATGCAGCGGCCCGAGCTGCGAGTTTGCTCCGCTCCTGAGCCRGGATGGCATGGGCAGTGGGAAGATCGGTTGGCTTCAGCTTCCCGATCCCAACTGGAGTGGGAAAACACCTTTTCTACAGGAAAACATTGCAGAGACCAGCAGGGCTTCACATCAGTTTTGCGACTCCTAGTTTGATCCTGAAAATCTGTTTCCAAGCTGATGCACATTTTAGGACCTTTGCGGAGCACTTGTTTTCCTCTGTGCAGCTTCCACCTCCTTGCTCGGATTTAGCAAGAGCAGGCGCGAGCAGCCTCTCTCCGGTGACAACAGGCTTTGATTTGTTTGCACTTCTCGTTACAGATTCCTCCTAATTGCAGGCATCTTTCAGAGGCGCGCGTGGCTCGCGCGGGCGTGCGAGCCGTGGCCGTGGATGCGCAGCGGGACGGCAGGAGCGCGGCCCGGTGGGAGCACCGGCCTCCCTCCTGCTGCCGCGGCCGAGGACGGCCTCTTCTCCGGAGACGGGAGCGGAAGGGAACGCTGGAGCGGCAGCGGCTCCATGAGCCAGGGCAGCAGCCCCGGGGCTGCAGGAGCCAGAAAGAGGCTTCAAAAGGAGYGAGGTCCCACTTGGGAAGTGCTTTCCAAAGCCAGGGAAAGAGCCGAGGATGGGAACGGGCTGGCTGCTCTGCTACCCGTTGTGCCAGGAACGCYGCGAGTCCTGTGGAGCGCCGGTGCCTCAGCCCTTGCCCTGTCCTGTGCCCTCCCCTCGTGGGGCCCCGCGTGCCCGGATGACGCCYGGCTCTCCTGGGGAAGCAGGCAGCTCTTCACCCCTCGGGAGAGGCGGATCAGAGCGTTCGTGTCTTTCAGACATTACCCTTCATCAGCCAAACCGTTCTAGGGAGTGAATCAAAGGAAGAGCAGGTTGGGAGCCTCTGCTGTACAGGGGAAATTGGGAACAGCCTCCTCATATTTAGSTGGAGGAGCCAGTGCTCCCAAGCACGTGGCCTGGCTGGCGGGTGCCRTAGCCGCAGGAAGGCAGCCCCAAATGGCAAGTCTGCATTTTATCCCCCTCCCTCTGCAAAGCAGCAGGCAACGGGCCGGTGATGCGGCGGTCACGACGTCAGGGTCGCATTGCCGAGTCCCTGTGCGCTCGATGCAGCGCGTTGCAGCAGGCAGCAAAGAGCCGAGAGGTGCAGGGGACATGGAGCCGTGTGCGGGGCAGGGAGCGAGGCCTCGTGCCCGCCCTGCAGCTCGCCCTGTTTACCGAGGCGGCCCCGGCCTGCCGCGCCTGCAGCAGATGTTGTGCACACCCGGCTCTGCAAACAGCGCTGGAGCTCCGGGGTAAATCACCCTGCGGCCGGGATGTGGCTGCTGACGGCCGAAGGGATGGTGCTGTGCAGCGCGGTCGGGCTGTCACTGCCATGTGGTGCTGTGCAGCACTGGGTGCCTCTGCTGGGTGCCACCAGGCTCTCCGTGCACTGCTGTGCACCACCACTGCCACCACTGTGCATCACTGTGCACCGCCACTGCCACCACCGCGCACCRCTGTGCACCGCCACGCACTGCTGTGCACTGCTGCGCACCACCGCTGTGCACCCTGACGCAGGCTGTGCACTGCCGGACACGGCCGGGCACCACCACATGCTGCTCTGCACCGCCGTGATATCKCCCCTTGGTATTTGCCGTGCACTATTTTGAGCTGAAATACTAAACTCTTCATCTTTTCATATTGARTAATAGTAAGACAGAACAAAAGAAAAGAAACACTGGTGCCTGTCAGGGCTTCAAGATGGTGACAAGAGTTTATGCGGAGAAGTCGCAGTGAGGGGAAAAGCCCCGATGAAACAGGCCGGGTTCTGAGGAGCCATAAAGTCAGGAGCCAACCCGGCAGTGCATGAAAACCATCCTGCTGGAAGAGCCGGTCTGCAGGAGACCTGTGTCTCCTGTCCCCGAGTGTCCCCAGCTAACACTGGTTTTGCAGAGTGGGCAGACAGGCTTTTGCTCGTGGCGATGCAGGGGACGCTSCTTTGCCTGCAGCCTTTTCCCCACTCCAGCAGCTTCTGGGAGACATCTCTGGGGATGCAGGGGGCAGAGCTGCCACGAGGAGAGGGTGGCATGAAGAAATCCTGCCGATTAAAAGCAAAGATTGCCCATTCCTCAGCTGAGCAGTGCTGGGCAAGGACCCACGATGTGATGGCAGTGGCTGCAGCTGCCACCCATGCACAGGACTGAAAGCGRGCTGATTAAACCCACGGTAGCGCGTGCACGGCAGGGATGGCATGGAGGATGTTYGGGGATGCTCCTGGCATGTGCCGCTCCCTAAAGCAGTGCAGGGCACGCCGTGCCATTGCTCCGGAGCAGGGCCACTGTGAGGGAGCAGGGCTGTGCTGCAGGGAGGCAGCTCCRCGCGCAGGTTGGTGGCAGCTCCACGATGTGCTGCTGTGCTGCTGCTTGCTGCCGCTTGCTGCAGACGTGCCTGGCCCGCGCGCCCGGGCGCTGCAGTGCTGCGAGGCCGGGGCCGCCAGGCGTGACGGGACACGACGCTGCCAACGGCGCCGCGTTGCTTCCTGCCCCGCCGGAGCTGCCGCCGCTCGGCCGTTTCCCTCGGGACGGGCACCCCCGCCAGCGTTAGCAGCTAATACCCCCATTCTGCTGCCAGATCCACGTGGGCAGCGCGTGCTGGCACCGTYGCATTCCCCGCGGGGAAGGAGGGCACGGGAGGACGGAGGGCACTGCATGAGAACAAGTGCTCCGAGGCTGCACGYGGGGCCTTATTGGCACCCCAGAGCCCGGGCGCCTCCTCCGTCACTGAAGTGGTGGCGGCAGCAGCGGGGCCACTGTCCCCACCGCTGGCAGCAGGCCCGGGAAGGTGCCCCGGGGCAGGACACGCTGCTTCCCAGCCCCATTCTCATGATAATGACCATGGCCCTTTTGTTTCTTCTCTCATTTCTTGGATGTGTCCTCAGTTGCTCCCCAGGGAGCACGACCCACTGTGGGCTGCGCGGAGCCGGGAACACGGAGCATCCCGGTGGGGCGGCCGCTCCCAGCGGAGCTCAGGGTGCCGCAGGGCCCTCGCCATTCCCGGGGCTCTCGCTCCTCTGGGCAGCAGCAGCAGCAGCAGCACCCTGCGTTGCTGCAGGCCGCGTCTCCCTCCGCGTGCGCCCCTCTCTGCCGGGCCCAGCTGCTCCGCTCGCCTCGGAGGCAGCGGGCCGGGCCGGGCGCTGCGGYGCCTGGGCTGGCGCAGACCCTCCGCGTGCCGAGACACCCCCTCCGCTTAGCTTCCCGGTGGCACTCGGCACGTGATTTGCTCAGCCTTTCCCAGCCCAATTTTCCATTAAATCCCCCTAATTTTGCTGGCTCCTCCCGGCCACCTGCATGTTCCTGGAGACAGCAATGAGGCTGCAAAGCGCCCAGCGCCTCCCGCAAAGGGGCTCTGCACCGCGGCGGTGCCACGAAGGCCGAGGCTGCAGCAAGGAGGAGCCTGCGGCCGCAGGAGGAGGTCGGGATGCGGCGAGGGCTGGGAGAGCAACACAGGGCTGCTCACGGCAGCTCAGCCGGCCTCTCCTCTAGCAAGCTTTGCTGGGCAAATTGGAGTYGTGTTAACTCCCCCAAACTCCCTTCCACATAAGTTGAAGGATCCGTTTCATTCGGTGTCTGTGCAGCTATTTTGGGATGAAACTTTTGATTCAGCACAGATGTTCAGAATTGGGTTTTATGCAGCAGCAATCTTTTCACATCATTCCCCCCTCCATCCTTGTTTTTTTCACCAGAAATTACTAAGCCAGTGAGGGGCTGCAGCCAGAAYGAGTTGTCAGAGGCTGCCTAAAATCTCACATTTCATTATTTGTTTCTCCCCTTTGCCTGCCATTCCCTTCTTTTCCTTGAACTGTCTTTGCTGGATGCTCTTTGTCTGCACACTGCGGCGCTGCACGGGTGCTGTGTGCACTCATGCTGCATGCACCCGTGCTGCGTGCACCTGCACTGCATGCACCATGCGACACGCACCCACCACGTGCACCCACGCTGTGCACACGGGTGCTGCGTGCACCCACGCAGCGCGCGCCTGCACGTGCAGCCCTGTGCATGCACGGGCTCTGCCCTGCGGCGAGCCYGGCGCGCGTGTCCGCGAGCGCAGCCCTCCCCGCTCTGCTCCTCACATTTGTTTTCCAGGCATTTGAGCGACTTCTCACGGTATTTAGCTCCTGCAGCAGCCTGTTGGGTGTAAGTCACTGCTTTTGCCTGGCATATTTAATGAGAGAACGAACAGTCTGAATAAAATTTATAATTAAAAAATGCAGTCACGACGCCTACGGAGGAGGTGGATGGATGTGAGCTAGYGAGCGCGGCTGCAGCAGAGCACGAAGCGACGGCGACGCCCGAGCAAGGGCCGCGCGGCTCCYGCACGGTCCCGACACGGCCGGGCAGCGCGGGCCGGCCGAGCTGCTCCTCCACGAGAGGYTCCTGCTTCTGGTAGGCGGAACATGTTTAATTCAAAGTTTCCCCACTTTTGTTCAGGAAAAATCTACAGATCACATCCTTCGTGAGTCTGCTCTGCCTGAATTCCTCTTCCCTCTGTTTGGAACTAAAAAAAGCTAAGGCAGATGGAGCTCACAGGAAAGTGATCCCAGAAAGATCAGCTAGTAAAAAAAAAAAACCCAAACTGAAGACAAAAATCCTTTAAAATCTGTTTTTCCCTTGTGCTGAGGCCCTTCCTGCATCCTGGCGACCTGCAGGGGATGGTGCCCAAYGCAGACAGGCGCCCTGGTCGCTCTCCAGCACGAGGATGCGGCACTGCCAGGACGGCGTGTTGCAAGGGTGCAGCACGGCAAGGGTGCATGCAGCATCGTGCGGATGCAGCACTGCAGGGGTGGCAGCACACTGCAGGGACGCTGGCTTGCAGGGATGCAGCACTGCGTGGGTGCGGCTGTGCTGCATGGGTGCTGYGCTGCAGGAACGCAGCACTGAGAGGACACCTGCACTGCACAGACACCACGTGCAGCGAYGCAGCACTGCAGGGATAGAGGACACCCCGTTGCACAGACACGGATGGCAGGAGCTGGGGCCAGCAGCAAGAGCAGTTGAAGGGTGGGTTACAGGCACACGTTGCCGTCGCGGAGCCGGGCGGCCTTCGGCTCAGCTGCTGCGGGCTGGGCCCGGCTGCCTGTGCTCGGCGGTGCCGGGCGCTGCTGCAAGCTCCGCCGGGCCGGCACCGCTCCGGCTCCGAGCTCAGTRCTGCTCCTGCTCCAGGCTTGGTGCTGCTCCCGCTCCGGGCTCGCAGCCGCCCGCGTTGCCCTGCAGCGCGCTGGGCATCAGGGGCAGCCGCAGCCGCAGCCGCGCCAGCCTGCGGGCCGCAGCATCCCTGTGCTATCGGCAGGATGCAGCCGCGTAGTGCGCCCCGGATGTCCCGCACCAGTCGGGATGTCGGAGCCAGTGCTTCCCCCGGGACACAGCRTGTCATTAATGCTAAAAATAACCCGCTTGGTTCGTTTGGCTCCTAACGAGCGCGTCGGGGCCCTGCAAAGCGCGTGGCCCCAAGGCAGAGCCGCGTGCTGCTGCTCTTGCCCGGGCGCGGAAGGGSCCGTGGGTGCCAGGGCAGCTCCGGTGCCGCTCGGCACCGCGTGGGGCTGCAGCCGCGCTGGCCAGGGAGCAGGAGCCGCGCGGGACGGGGGGACTGTCCCAATGAGGGAGGAACAACCGCATCAGCCGCACCGGAGCCAGAGGGAGACCCGGCCCTCGTGGGCACGCTCCGGGTGCGAGCTGTGGGCATGCTCCGGGTGCGAGCACCGGGTGTGCGCGGGTGCGAGCTCCAGGTGTGCTCCAGGCCCCAGCTCCAGGCGCTGGCAGCAGCGGCGCGGGCCCCTCCTGCAGGAGCAGGAGCGCGGGGCCGTGCGGGGCTCGCTCGGTGCGGGCGCCGCGGCTCCGGGCAGGCAGCGCGGAGCACGTCCCGCGCAGCCGCCTGCATCCCCGCGCCGGCTGCGGGCGCCAGGCCGCGGTGCCGCCCGGAGGCCAGGTCGCTGGCTGGCTCCTCACAGGGCGCCCGGCACTCTGAGCAACCCTCACAGGGATAAAGCACGGTCGGGAGCAGCGCCCTGGCTTCGGAGCCCCGCGAGCCCCCGGGAGCCTCCCTGCGGAGCGGGGCCCAGCCYGCGCCCCACGCCCGGCTCGCTCTCCGCGCGCTGGATCCCGGGTGCGACGCTCACACCGCCTTCATAGAGCTCATTCGGGTGGGAAAGGGGATTTTTCTGCAAGAAAACGCTTCAGCTYTGCTGGCCTCTGCCCTCCCCTCGGCGTGGGGGAGAAAGCAGATGCTTTGGGCAGTGCTGCCTCGCACAGGGCTCGCACACGAACTGAAGCAGCAGCCGGCAAGCGCCAAGCTCCAGTCAGCAGCGGCTGCAAATGGGCAAAGCAAGTCTGGGAAGCAATGCGCTCAGCCGGGATCACCCCTCGCTGAGCCAYGAGCGAGCGCGGACACCTCGCAACCGGCGCCGCTCTCCTCGCAGATCCCCAGTGCCGGGTCCAACTGTGCCATCAAGTCCGGGACTAGCCCCACGTAACAGCCCAGAGCCGCCCTACCTGCTCCGCGCGTCCAACACAACACACACCGCAGCAGTAACAAAAGTCTGGCATACAGCTTGTTTTTCCCCCRAAATAAATGATGTCCCTTCAGTAATACGCATATATATGAACAAAATAAAAACACATGCAAAAGAAAGTGTGGAACTTCTTCACCCTGGTACAGAAAGATGTAATTAAGGAGAAGAACTTTCATTAGGGCAATTTCACTTTATTTTTTTCCATACAGCAAGGTCAACTATAGCGGTAATAATAAAATAAGCATAAAAACAAATTGCAGCCCAGGACAGAGTACATAATTTGGAGCAACTACAAGCAAAAAGTAAGTCTGTGATTACATAATAGTAAAACCAAGCACATCTGTCCTTTCAGCAGATGAAAGTTGCAGGGTTGCAAGTAAGTGCAACTTTAAGAATTATTCAGTGTGAATACTGGAGATACCAGATAAAATAACGGCCAAATCACTTATCTTTCCAGCTTTGGCATATATAAGAACAATGTTTCTTGAATGTTTTCATTAAAACGGTAAAATTCCAGAGGGTTTTTCTTTTCACCTGCTAAAAGAACAGGACCACTACAGCAATAAAAAATAACCACATAACAACTACAGCTACGGTGTGCTGTTTGGTTTGCCTGTTCATGATTTGACTCTTTCGTGAAAGTCAGTATTCCTTTTGAAGAATCTTTTTTTTTTTTTTTTTTGTGAACAATAAACCACTGAAATTGTCAGAAACTGGTTTGAATAGTATATATCTTTAATATAGTTTTTTGATACTTTAAACATGCAGTAGTTTTTGAATAATGTACGGAATATTTGATCCATGATTTCACCTTGATGGTTTGAAGTACCTGTTTTTTTTTCTTTTTTTTTTTTTTTTTTAGTTAATGATTTTCAGGCAGATTTGAACCAGTGGAGCTTTTGTCAGTCATGAGATCTTGGAAGGATGGCATATCTTTCCAGCTGAAAAAATCCTGGCAAACTACAAGCTGTCCACATAAAGCAAAGCAACTTTTTTGAAGGGGTATGGAGTGCTAACTCTGTGCCACTTTTGCAAGCAATTTTGTTCAGCCTGTCATTTTATTAGCCTTAACAAAACTCCTTGTAATTATAGACATTTTTATTCAAAATAAGATCTTACTATTATACAGGTTTCTCTCTTTTTTGACTATATACAGAAGTGCAAAAAGTCAACCTTCTCTCTATACGTTCCCACATGCTAAACTGCAGCATAATCAACCCTCAAGAGTTTGCACACACACACTATAATTCTTGTTACGTAAACTTTGAGTATTTGGATTATCAACAAAAAGTCCCTTGATCTATTGATTATGCAGCTTATTTATAACAAGGCCTGATATTCAGGGATTTCAAAAAATATTTAAACAATATTTTAACATTTGAAATGGATACAGTAGAAAATAAATTTTATTCTAATATCTAGGAACTAGATTTTCTCATAATAACTAATTACAAACAAAATAAATCATCAAAATATTACTCAATTGTCTGCCAGGATTGTTGCGATAGCAACAACTTAACTTCTTACTTAGCAATGATTATATAATTATAAGATATCCATATAAAAGATCTTTGTTCTTTTAATGAAAACTAGACAAGAACTAACAATGACTGACATTCTTACATTGTAATATTAAATCAGTAAAATATAAATCATTTAGTTAACAATAATACGAATATTCATATGACACTACATGTAAATTCAAAACTGAGTATGTTATGAAGAAAACTACCTTTTTTGTATTTTGAAAAAGTCATCAGTAAACTCTATTAAAACAAAATTCTATAAACTGAAATGGTATTCAACTGGTAATAGAAAATTAAAACAATCTAATAAATGTAAGAAATAAAAACTACATTTTTAACAAGAAAAAAAATAAGTAATATTCTCTAATGTTAAGTAACTACAATAACATGTGAAGTCACCTATACTTTCTTAACACGATTGAAATTACATTGGTATGGGTTTTAACCCGTAATGTAATAATCTAAGGCTTTAATAGATGTACAGTACAATCAGTAAAATCAACACATCATTCTCATACTATAAAGCATCTCTCTCAAGCATAAAAACTCGCAGTAAACTTGGGAGTATGGCGGGTTCTAGAACCGAACCCGCGCTTCCCCCGCTCCCGCTGCGCACCAGTGACCTGGCCCCCACGTCAGCACTTTGCTGAACAGAGCAAAAAATATCCTTTACTAGCTGCAACATCCAAACCACAAAAAGGAATTCCTTTGGATGAATCCATTCTTAAAACTTGAATGCACATCTATTTTTTTTTTTGTTTTTATTTTGTAAAGGCTTTCTAAGGCTATAAGCAGTTAATCTGAACAAAAAAAATCACATATAAAACTCACCCAAGTATTTAGCCCACCCACTTTCTATGCTAATTAACATCTCCATTTTTTCATATTTTGGTTTGTCATGCATCTGATGTCAGTGCTTCTTTTGTCTTTGTTTAGAGTCACCGTTTAAAGCGTGACTGTGATGAAGTCAAAGTGAAACCCATCTCCGCAAAGCATTTATAGTCCTTTCGACTTTTGACAGAGGCTATAAATAGAAGCAAAATAAGTTCCTCAGACGTTTGTTCCTGTGTCTCAGAAATGGCCTCTCCCTTTCGTATAGCATGTTATACAGTAAAATATGCATAAATATTACACTACAATGCCTTAAAATAGTTTATATATATGTCCAGTATGTGTTAATTTGTACGGATAGAGTATCTTTCTTGTGCTGTCTACTGTTACTGTAAGGAATAATTGGCCATTTCTGAGACAGCTTTGGTTTTGAAACAGAATGGTGCCCTTTGACTGATTAGTAAAGTAAGTGAGAATGTGGCTTTGAAAATAACACTGCAGAAATAATACTCTAACCTGATGTACAGTCTATGGCACTTCATGAGAATCCTTAACAACGTGGTACTTAAAGCCATTGACGTGCTTTAAAATATACACAGTTGTGGTTTTGCTTGGCACATTCATCTCTGTCAGATACCTCTCTTACCATTTCTTACAATCTATTACATTAAAAATATTACTCTTAAACAAAAATTACTGTGCATGCACGCTCTCATCTATAATGGCAATTTTAAATACAAGGTGCACCTTTGTTATTTGTAAACCTTGAAAGAAATAAACTTACTTTAAAAAATTATATCTTGGTCTACAGACGTACCAATACATAATAGATTTATGGTTACATCATAGTCTGTCTTTTCAAGGTGACATACATGATTATGTAGGGAAGAGACTACATATGCATATCCCAATACATATGCATACTTTCTGTGCTAGAAAAGATAGACAATGCTGTAGCTCTTAGACAATAAGATCACCTCAGCACAAATATCAATTCAATGTACAAAGTATATAGGCAACAGTGTGCAGTGATTTCCGAGTTCTCGTTTCCTCTTGTTAACATGCAATGTGTGGATGTCTCGCGCTGAGGGAGCTCCCGAGTGTTGCTTGACGGTATATACAATATGGCTAATGAGCTTCTCCTTTCCACAACCCCAACACACTGTCCTTTGCTCTTTAGTTATGATCTAGAGAGGGAAAAAGAGAAAGCACTTTCAGCACATCTCTCAATAAAAATTCATTTAGCACCACRTAGGCCCAAACTTTGCAGCTGCAACACCAGGAAAATCTGTCACTGACTACTGGGCAATTCGGAACCAAAACCAGCACAATTTCCCTGCAAATAATGCCCTCGTAACAAGGGTTCACTTTGCACCGACCAGTTATGCAGTGATAAAAGCTTAAATGAAATGTCCTCCCAGTATTCCTGACCCGACCCCCAYGGTATCCCAGCTTGGGGGAGCAGCTCGCCACCTCCGAAGCCCACGACCCGGAGTGCAGAGATTCCCACACAAGCTGCTGGGGAAGCCGCGTGCTGCTCTGCTCCCCGGCCCTGCTGCCACTGCCCTGCAAAATGGGACAAACCCCACCGATGTTTGTGGGCATTTCACGCCTCTAGGGATCCGGGCCCTCCAGCCCACGATACTGTCCTCACCCATAACGACCTACTTAGAGCTCTTTCCCTGGTCTCCATGGCCCCTGGAACAAGAGACCCCTCGAGAGGGATTCCAACTCGCCCTCGGGAGGTGTCTAACCATGAACAGGGACCCCCGAGCCCCGGCCGAGGCGGAGGGAACCTGCTACCACGGATGGGAAGGAGCATCCCAAGGCSGCCCTGCAGCTGCCGAGGAATGGCCATGCTGGGCTGAAAGCAGTAACTCCTATTCTACAGCTATTAAGAAAAATCAGTTAAGCCTTATCTTAATAATTCCAATCGGGCCRAGCCATCCCATAATAACACAGCAGAACTGAAGTACAGCAGACAGAACATTCATACAAATCACAAGCTACCCTAGGGAGGTGATGGTGCAGCTGATGGCCTTGCAATTTAGTGACAGATGGGAAACTACAATTTACTCATACAAAGAGAAAGGGGAAAAAAATCTTTCAAGCTTAAGCACACTTAAAGCTTTGTGACTTGAAGCTTTGTGAGAAGAAAGCCTGCAGTATAAAGGGCTGTCAGAGACCACGTGAAAGCAGAGCTCGCAGCACAAGGTGCGAGAGCGCGCGGARGCTGTGCTCCGTGCGACCTCTCTGCCACGTAACCAGGGCCACAGAAACCCTGCATGCAGCGCATCAGAATGTGACAGCCTGTGCGCGAGAGACATCAGGCTCAGATGACTAAGCCCATAATTTCACAGATGCTGGCTTTTGGGAGATGTAAAATTAGTCCTTTCTGAAGAGCTTAACGTAACCATCTACCTCCCAGCCYGGCCTTGGCTCGTGCCCGTGGCCAGAGCCATCATCCTCTGTGAAATGCTAATTTTAGCGTCTCTGATTTCACTATTCAAAAGTGCAGTTACACAAATAATGTGTTCCTTCTATATGTGCAAAGTACTGCCCACATCTGGTCTAACACGCTAGCTAATGGGGTCACTGCTAATTATGGGATCTCCATTCAGTGGGGAGTTATGCAAAAATCCCAATTAACGTGACACCTAACAGCCCTGCATCACAGACTGCCAGACCCTAGCCAGAACCTCACAGCACATTCACTCTGCCACTTGTGTAAAAAAAACAAAAGGACTACACTTCTGTAGAATAAAGCTTCAGTGCATAAATTCCTGTGGCTGGCTAATGTCACAAACATGCACATCCATGGGTCTCCAGTCACTCCACCGTATTATAAAACTTGTTTTAAAAAAGGAAATAAACACATTGCATCTCTGAAAAAGACAAATTATGCACATATACAGAGCACAAAACTGCAAGCAACAACACACTGGAAACTTACTGTTTGATGACAAAATGTCTACATCTGTGTAACATACTTGTGGCTAGTCAGATGTTCGGCAGATATTATGGGTATCTACAGGTAAAAAATTTGAACAATGAGTAACATGTGCAATGAGGCAACCCAGAGACAGAGCATTTTGCTACAGAACATAAGGGTTCAGAAAAGTGAGGATCAGCTGTGAGTTGGTGGATTTTATATTGTCACTATAAGTTAAAGTCAACTTAAGTGCTACAGTAGCAACTTAAAACTGCAAAACATTGTGTTAAGTACTATTTGACAAATATAAATAAGTATTATTGCTTGTTTAGAAAAAAGAGAAGTTAAAATCTACGAAAGTTCATGCAGTGCAGTAATTGAAAACAGCCCTTTTTGTTGGCCTACACAAAGTTCCATGATATCGGTGAGTCATTGAAACTGATAAATTCTATAATGACACTGTTTCAGCCCGATTTTGAGAAGCACTCCCTGCTTTCGCTGTCTCGGGTTTTGAATGCAACACCTACGATGCCCGGCGCTTGATTTTCATAACAGGTGAAAACCCAACATTKGAGGAGAGCTGGGCGCTCTTCCCACAGCTCCAAGGCAGCAGGGTAGATCAAGTGAAAAGCTAAGACTCCCCAAACCAGTGAAAYAATTCTCAAAACGTTAGTTTGTGCAAACAGAACTCGATACCTGGCTCTCCTGAAACGTCCCATCAACAGTTAACCATTAAAATCACAGTATATTACAAGCATCACGAACAACCGAGTGTATATTCTACACTTGCTTTTTGGATCCTGGTCTTGCAACGCTCTGATGTGGTACCCCGACTAAGATCAGCAGGGCTGAATCTAAGCAGCCCTTGCAGGTCAGGCCCTTGGCTCGGGAGAACAGCAGTGCATACGAGGATCAGAGGAACCACAATAATCTGGTGTTACGAACAGGACCAGAAGTCCAGCTGAGCAAGCCAACAGACGGGGACAGGAAAACATGCTCGGGCATGTGACATCAAATTGACCTGTATGATTACAAACAGCTGTCCAACTTGGAAAGGTTCTCTTTCTCCTGGTGGATATYAAGGCCAATCTGTTAATCAACCCACATGAGAAGGGGACGGCGGAGGAATATTCTTGGGTAAATACCTTACAGGTCTAGGTGTTTTTTCCACCCCTTGTGCCCTCTCCTCCCCTAGCAAGTTCACACAATTCCACAACATTGCCAGCTTGTACAGAAAGGTGCTTTGAGCATAATGAAGCTTCTCATACCATTTTTTCCTACTGCTGCAGGAGAGGCTGTTGCACCCAAGTGTGTAGAAGCATCAGGGACAGTGCTGTCGAAACATACCGAGGACCTTCAACACCAGTCAATGAAGATGAAGGGCCAGATCTTAAGACTTTCGGCATGCAGGCACATTGCATTGTGTGGCATTAAATAATTTCAGCATTGCTCACATAGTATATACATATATTGGTTATATATGTATATATTGAGGTTTGGCTGCAGTTCTGTACTAAGTGTGTTATGAAGTTCCAGGGAGGATATGCATGAAATGGTCAGATTCTACAACAGCAAGTTTCCCTCTAATCTCCTTGGGAAAGTGCATTGCAATCCAGAGAGAGATTTAAAAAAATAAAGATCTTTTTGCTGTGGTTTGGCTTGTTCCTGCGACTCTCTGGACTTATGGAGGACATAAAGACAAACACTTCAAYGAACTGTGCTGTGCAATAAAGTACAATATTATAGTACTTTGGCACACAAGGGGTTGGTTGCTGTGTTACTCAGAAGTAACCGCTCCCATCAACTAGTTAAGATAGGAAGTAAGTCTTAGGCTGGTTTCAACACGAGACACACTTACGCAGTAAAACACTTCTCCCAAGTACAAAGCGCTGCGCTAAACAGAYCCGGAATTGTGTCGGGAGCGCCCTGGCACGAGCAGGGCCATCAGGTCCCAGGTGCAGCCCGAGGGCCAAACCCCTCTCAGTTTCATGCTGCCTCGTAAAAGCGCTCCGGAGCCGGCCCCGAGGGCCTCGCTGCAGCGCCGTGTCAGGGGAGCGCCCCTTAAACGCCCACCTTTATCCCCAGAACGCGACGGTTCGATGGCATAAGGCAATTCTGACTTTCTAGTAAACCTTGCAAAAATAACTGGTTTTCTYAAGAGGAGCCAGAAGGTCTTTTGAAGGCTTTTTACTGTTACATTTTCAGCTGGATGTACTACAAAAATCTGCATTTTTGAGGATCTAGTTAAATAAAAATAGGCCAATTTATGCTCAGGTGAAGCTTCAGTTGGTATGTGTGGAAACTGCACCTCGTCTGTCCCTTAATGCTTGTCTTTAGAATACAGTTTGTGGCTTTCCCAGGAGGATTTTCACTTACTTATTTAGCAAAGYACTACTTTTTTTTTCTTAAATATATCCAAACATGGCAAGAATCAGGATAGCTATTTAGAAATAAAACCAGATTTTAATGCAAATTTTTATTAACTGAAATTTGCATATTGAAAAAAAGCAATCAGCCCTTCCCTGCAGAATCACAAGTTGAAACAAAGGCTTAATGTGTGTTTCTGTGTGGCCCACGCTCAAATGTTTTTGTTTTGCTTTTGGGAGAGCTGAAGAGAGTCAGAACATGCTTAGACTGTTAAAATTCTGCTCCTGTAATCCCTAATCCCTCTGCACAAGTTTTTTACTGGTTCTCATTGGTGTTCTGCATTAAGGGGAACTGTGGGTTTCATGTAAACAGAAATGACTAATGGGTTCCGTGTATTATCCCTTTCTCTTTACATCTGTGAGAGCAGAAATAAGCAGCACGGCCCATAAATGTTAAGACTGAGTCAGAAACTCTATTATCCATTATTTTTAGCATCAGAAATGGAACTGCAGCACCTTTTGAGCATGGATAAAGGCGTATTAAGCTACGCTGCAGATCRGAGAGAGAATGTGTAGGCCAACAAGAGGTAAAATCAAAACCCCCATGCTCATTAAAAGCACCGATTTCGAGTTGTCTGTAAGGAACAAAGCTGTAAATTAGCAAACCTGGTTGGCTGTGGCTGTTGCAGCGAAGGGAACACTTGTGGCAGATGTTGTTGCTGCAGACACAGTGGCTGGCGTAGCACCGTGCACCATGGGAACTTTCGGAAGGAAAATCATATAAGCAAACATACGGAAGAGTGTAGCAGTATGGGAACCAGAGCGACATGTGGYGGGATCATCGAGCATGGTATTGACCACAGCGAGAAGCCCGACACACCAATGCCAGCGCGTGACATGCAACCACAGGGCAAAGCAGGACAACATGCCAGGGAGAAGGGGGGAAGGAAAATGAAAGAGAAAAAAAGGGGAAAATGCTTGTTACCATCAAATCAAGAAAACTGACATAAACAAGCTTAATCATTTCAATACAAAAAAAAMCAATCGATTTTTAAAATGCCCTTATAATTACCTTTTTTTTTTTCTATAAAAAATTCAACCCAAATATTTACTGCACACAGAAATTAACCTTGTTGAAGGACAGTATAYTTCTATATTGCTATAGTAAGATACAGTCTCTTATTTAACACAAGTAGTCTAAACACTGGAACTCATAGTCCAATCAAAATCCACCAAGAAACAATGTGCAATTCAGACAACTGCTGTACAAATTAACGACGTCCACGTATCCGTGTCAATTAAATAAAGCCATTGCATTTAATTGACAGGTGTTAGTGCAGGAGGCTCAGGGAGATGGACTGGCACAAGAGCTCTAGGTTACAAACTAACAGTGGATTTTGAGGGTCCGTGAGCTGCACCACAGGTTTAAGAGAATCAAGAAACAAAGCTGGCACCTACCAACACTTGTAGCGGGTGTCATGCACAATATTGAGCCTGCTCATCATGCATTGCARCAGGAAGGTGGATTTGGAAAGGGAAAAGAATTAAAACAACCCATCACACGTGTAATTAGAGAATTTCATTTGAACAAAGAAGAAAAATTGTTATTATGGGAACAGTGGCATGTAACTGTCAGCACAATCAAACCATACAATAGCATAGTGATCCACTAGGACTAGCCTCCAGCGARGGGAAGAGGGGAGGGAACTGTGTGCCAGGATATTTTGTTTGTCTTGATTTCAGCCTAACACTATTAAATATTAGTGTGACCAAGAACAATTTTTTTAGCTCGGTTTTATACCGTTTTGGTCTAAGCTGTCTTGCCCTTGCCACAAGCTTTGTGGTGGTCTGTGAGCTGCTTTCCTCAGCTGAAAAGACACCCAGAGGTCGCAGCCGCTCGGGGCGTCGCTGAAAACCCTCCTCGCCGGGGCTCAGTGCCCTGCCAGGCGCCCACAGCGACGAGCAGCTACAGGCAACGTCACGGCCGCGCTCTTCCCTGCGCGGCACCTTTAGGGAGCGTGCGTGCCGAGACGGGGTGCATGTGGCACCAGGGCTGCCCTAGCACCTGCGGGCGCGCGCCGCAAAGGCAGCGCGGAGCACGCTGCAAAGGCGGCGCACAGCAACGTCGCCAGGAGCCAGCGGCCAAAGGGGGCTGTGTGCCCCACCACGGGATGTACCTAAATCCTCTGGGCCTCTGGCTATAGAGAATGGCACCAATTCTGTGCCAATGGCCCAGCAAAACCAATGGGCTCACAACCCACAGTTCTCTAGGGTATATAAAAACGAAGTGGCTGCATCTTGTGGATTCTTCATTGCAACTGCATGGCCAAGAGGAGCGTGGGGTCTTTTAGAGACACTGCGGTGTGAAATCTTAAATTCACTAGGTTAGTAATTCTGTTTATTTACAAAGCAAGGTGCCTTCCTTGCTTCCAAAACACTGAATTCAGAATTTTCAAWTTTTGATTTCAGCATTATAGATATCCAGATAAAGGATTCAAATGGTTATATATCAGAATATCCATTTTTAATAACAGATTTGCTTTTTTATTTAGTGCACATTTAATTTATTAATACTGCTAATTATTCTGACTCAGAAATCCTGAGTAAATTCTGAAATCTAGGAACAGAGATTGCCATGAAAACAGAAACATTCTGGAAGGCTAGTGGGAGCTACTGCACCACGGCTTCCTTGACATTCCCTGACAGTAACAAGGGGGACAGGAAATTGCCGTAGCTGGCACCAAACAGAGTAGTGCCTTGTGCAGTCTCATGGGCATTTAACTCTAGCATTAAGCAACGAACATGTCAGCGTTATTACTGCTGAAGACAAGGTTACTGTCTGTCATCCCCGTATCTTTAAGGATAAGATGAAAATGGCATAATGACGTTTTCTAGTAACGCTTCTATTTCTGTGTCATGGAAAAGAGTGAAAATATTCAGGAAGAAGGGTTAAAAGGACAACGTTCSCGGCTTCTCCAGAAGTGACTCATTGCCCAAGTCGAGGGAACTGCTTATAAGATAAAGAAATGGAGAAAAATTTTGCTTAAAGTGCAAAGGGTAAGACTATTTCCTCTATCGCACTTACGACTCCTCTATGGTGTCAATGGAGTTGCAAAGAAGAATATTTGAATTTTGCATCTCTAAGAAGTGCCCTACTTATAAGGTTGTGTATATAACTTCATTATATCTAGAATACTACATCACTCCGTGCATTATTAAGTTTACATGCTAAAACAAGTGAGATTTTCATAATCTCTGTGAAATGTCACTGCAAAGCTTTTGAGCTCAAAATGTTAGTTTGAGTTATCGACATTAACCTTATAACCAGTGCACACAGTTTTGAAAGGGAAGTGCAGCAAAAGAACATAAGGCAGCAATGAGAATACTAGCTAGGGTGCAATAACTTGCAAATATGAAGACATAATGCTGTATGACCCTCTTACCAGTAATAAAAATAATTTCTGCTATGACCTTAATACTCATCTTGACTTCAGAAGCTGTGACTGACTAAGGAGGATGTACAAGTAGTAAATGTGCAGTTTCAGACGCTCCCTAYGCTTCCAGCACAAGGCAGAACTTTAACTCAAGCATGTGCTTGGTTAGGTGAATGTAGCTTCACAACCAGATGATTTCTGCAGTGTAATAAAGCTATTTTGATGAGAATTCTGCTTTTACTGGTATTTTAAGCGGCTTCTTCTCTCCCCCCTCTCACACTGTTCTCTCAGCCTAAATCCTACATCAGTGCAGTCTACAAAATCCTACTAAAAAGTATTGCTGTGAACAGCTAGAGTTGAGGGCTGCTCCTTCCCGCTCTGCTGCTTTGGAGGAGATTTACAAGTCCCACGGAGAGGAGCGTTTAAACGGGTACCTCCTTGTGCGAGCATCTGTGGCTTGCCTGAGTCCCAGCAATGAGCAAGCAAGTTCTCTTGTGCTGAAGCAGCAGCAGGTACCTAGATCTGCAGTGCCTGGCCTCTATGGCAAAGCTGGCCTAAGCCRCTCCAGCAGTGGCTCCTCGGATCTGCAGCTAAAACACTTGCTCCTCCTTTAGCCAAGGAGTCACCTAATTGTTAAAATGAAACCTCGGAGTCACCTAATTGCGACTTTGCAGGCAAGGTTCAAGAGCCCCGCAGGGTTCAGATGCACCCCGTGGGATTYGTGCATCAGCTCTGGTATGCAATCTTCTCCCTAAACACGGATCTGAGTGAGGCAGCATCTGCAGCCCGGTTGCAGCCGTCAGCTCCTCTCCCGCCCGCAGCTGGCCCGGCCCTTGCAGGTCCCGAGCTCTCCTTGCTGCAGAGGACAACACTCCAGAGCCCCTCGGGAACAGGTTTCCTCGTGGGATGCAACCCATTCCCTGCCACAGATACTCCCATCGTTGGCCTTCGCATGCCCCTGCACACAGGCAGCCCCAGACCAGCAGGCAGTCTGGTGTTGGGAAGCGCTGAGCGCGATGCCCTACAGACAGGAGGGGCCAGCTGAGAGCCCCCCGGCGATGCACACGGGTGACACGGGCCGTGTGGCAGCATCCTCGCCCTCCAGACCTACCGTATTGTGGCACACAGCAGATGAGGCAGCGGAGACAACACTCTAAGCGACACGCGGGGCCCCGACTTGACAAATGCTGCTTTAATGCAGACTGCAGCGAACTAAGCTGTCTCCTTCCACAGCAGCGGCCTGGAGGACACCCCTAAGCTTTGGGCTCCCTCCTGGGCTCTGGGGGATGGACAGAGAAACTCTCTTCCCAAAGCTGTGCCAAAGGGGATGATAATGCACAAACAGGACTGATGCTAGCTAGCTTTAGCTCGTAACTGGAAAAAAAATAATAGTCACAAGGTGGAAAGAACACAACCTTTTGGAAAGGTACCAGACTACTGGAAAGCTAAAACTGATGCTATTTGAAAAATGTAAAATCTGAATTAGTGGGGTAGCTCAGGCTCAGAAAACTCTGGCTCTTTTTTTGTTGACCACTTCTTCAGCGGTCAAGAACATTCAAAAGAAGCATCAAGAATCACTGTGCAAACCTCCCCAAGGGCTGCAGGGCAGATGTGCCCGAGTAAGAACTGAGGAGGGTTGTGTGCAATTACTGACAAGAAAGATCCTGGCGAGTTACTTACGACAAACAAAGTCTGAGGCACATAGAAATGTAATAGTGTATTATATATATTATTGTATGTAATGTCTGGTCTAAGTTTCTAAGCTCAAAGGGTCGCAGTGTAGTGCAGCAGTGTTGAGTGCCTCTGGAAATCATCCCAACCCGTGGGTTTAATGGGAGATGTGTACAGTTCACAGACTACACCAGAGCTTTTCCAAAACACATCCGTGCAGTTGTGCAGGGCCTACATGGTGCTCTATGATCGTACACGCATTTTCCTTTGTATTTTGACAAGGGGGCTAAACGCCTGGCCTCACTCAATCAGAGACTGTTGGGGTCCTGACCTCACCAAGCTTTGCAAAGGCTGTGCTTAGTAATATAGTTTAGTGATTGCAATGAATTTGGGGAATTTTAATAGGAGATTGTCATGTACTACAGCAAGCATCTATTCTTTCTGTGCCATTTAAATTATGTTGATTATATGACAGACTGTGCCATTAAGAAAGAATGGTAAAAAGCTACTATATATAAAAGCTGCTATACCAAATGCCTGGGCACATACTTATCAAAAATGTTTAAATCTTTACATTTGCCGGGGTGAAAGTTCAATAGTTTAGTTTGTTTACTTCCCCCTCCAGCTACTCTGCATTACAAAGTGCAGAACTTGTGGACATCTTCACATTTTTTGTGTACAGATGTGCCGAATTTCTTCTCTTTATTACATACCTCCCAGAATGACAGTGGCATTTCAACAGAAGGTCCACGTGCAAAAAGCTAACTGATGTGGTAAAAGAGCCATGAACTTCTGTTAACTTATTAGAAATGTGCTCTTTTTCACGCAGTCCTGCTYGCAGCAGGGCTGCACGGCACAAGAGCTCCCTACCCCAGCGGGGCTCCCGCACATGTGCATAGGCATCAATTCTGCAGCACCTCCACCTGAGCCACCGTGCTGCTTGCGAGTGGCGAGCGTCCTGCTTTGCCAGGGGACAAAGGGGACAGGGGGACCCCGGACAGGGGACCCCGGTGCGCCCCACACCGCTCTCCTGCACGTGGGCACCGCGGTGCGTGTCGGCACCACGGCACRCGCTAACCAGGGCAGGAGGCGGGCGTCGTGATCCGAGGCACAGAGCCTGGCGCCGAGGGCGGCACCGCGGTGCCCGGGCTGCAAGCGAAGGGTTATCACCCGAGACGGGCCCTGCGCCGCGGCGCAGCGCGGAGCCGGGCGCGCCGCTTACCTGGCGGCAGGAAGGCCGTGTGCTGCTGCAGCTGCATGTTGGCGAGCGCTTGCTGGTACTGGAAGATGCCCGTGTTGAAGACCGCCGTGGCACCGTTGGTTTTTTCGAGCGCAGGCCTCTTTGGTAGCGGGGGGAGCACGGCTTGAGGGATTCCCTGCACGGGGGGGGGG